CTTCTTTATTTCTTGCTCCCACCATCCTTCTTCATCCCTTGATTTCCCCAAATACTCTCCTCATATTTCAAACACAAAAAGTAAGAATTAAAAACTAAGAATAAAATGGTTATTAGACCACCATAGTACATATGCCTAAAAGGACTGAATATACCTCATGGTTTGAGCCAACAAGGAGAATAGCATTAGAAGTACTTTTCATCGTGGATAAAAGAAAATTACAGTAAAAGTTAATCAAGAAAGTAAAGAGACCCTTGAAGGAAGAGAAGGGAAAAGTAAATATAAATTGGAAAAAAGAAAATGAGTTATATATATTATATTCATTCTTTCAAATATCACTCTCGCTTTTTGCTTCTGACAGGTCTCTCTCTCTATGTATATATAGTTTCTGTTTTTTTCACACTGTTTTTAGTATAATTTGCATTCGTTTTGTTGACAGTGTTTGTGACAATCCGTCCCGAATTAATATATATTTTATCCTCGAATACGTGGAAATGACTATTTTGCCTCATGGGCCTTGTGACGTGGTGGTACATAGAAAATTTTAAATTTATTTTTCCCATTGATATAATTAAATTATTCTCAAAGTCACAAGAATGTTGATGCAATTCAGGGCTGAGTCGGGTTTGCAGTGGAAGAATTACGAAGGAAGAAAGGAAATTAGGTTGAACCCAAATTGCATGAGTTTGGTCATGCAGCCTAATTAGGGTTTAGGACAATTTAAAATGCCCGATCTCGTAGGACACACACACGTTCAACCTTCTTTCCATTTATCTCTTCCTTTCTCGAATCCTCTTTGAGTCCGTACAACCAAACCCCCTAACCTTTGAATCTTGTCACACACTCACAGATCAAGTGTAAGGTTAGTACTATCGTGTTTCCCTCGACCTCACGAGTCGAGCCATACCCTTGGTTTGAGGAAAGGACCACGGAAACTCGAGATACCCGAGCTCCGGCAAGGAGTGTAATTTCTCCGACGTGATCGCAAAGGTCTTAGCTAGTTTTGAGACTTAGAAATGTATTATTACAACTCCTTTAGCGTTTTAGACTACTTTTGGTTAAGTTTGGACGTTGGAATAAGCTCGGTAGCTGGTGTGCAGGAGTAGCCGATTTTTTCAAGGATTTTTCCAATCATTTTCCATTGAATTTAGGGCCCCAAACAGGTATGGATGTGTTCTCCTAGTTGAGAGCTTCATTTTGGTACACATTTCATGAAATTTGGTGTTGAAACGACGAAGATATTAAGGTTTAAAGTTTTTCCAGAAACCGGCGAGTGCAGCGGCGGCCAACGCCTGAATCCGGCGAACCACCGAAGAAGAAAGGGGAATATTCCGTCAAAGTTGACGGAATATACTAACAGCGTCAGGTAAAGTTAATGGTATACGCTGTTACTTAACAGAATATTCCTTAACACCGTTAGGGAATCTATCAATGTGCCAGGCAGGTGCCTGAGCATGGCCGGCACGTGGGATGTTGAATTTTTTTCTAAAAATATGGGGATGCTCGTGGTGTTGAGTAGGCCACGATGGTATATACAAACACCCTAATTGAGCAACGTATGAGAAGTTATTACAAAGTGTTGGTTATGTGCTTAAAAGTAAAGTTAAAATAGTTGTTTCACATATAGGTAAAACGTTTCCAGAGGACAAGCGTAGTTAGGTGAGACTTGGGGGTTACGACCCGGCCACATATCAGTGAGTGGATTTTTGGCTTTTATATATATATATCTATATATCAGTGAGTTGGCTTTTGGTTATATATATATATGCATTCGTATAGTTGTGTATATTATGCTTGACTCTGCGAACGCTCAGGTAAGCCTCAAGTGAGTATATTTTAATGGTAATGATGATGTTGTGTATGATCATGTTGGATTGCATTTAGTGATTTATATCTTGCACTCTGGTGTTAGTGCTCCGCCCGAGGTCAGGGCCTAGCCTTCACAAGATCATTCACCTCCCGCACCACACACTTACCTTGGATCCAAGGCAGGTGCCAACCTGTCATACAGACCACATTAGGTGGTTCTGACTCGTAGGTGACTTGCAATACTTCGCACAGCCTTCACGTGATCGTAGCACTTGAGCGTATTTATTTACACATAGCCTATCGTACAAACCACATTAGTGGTTCTGACTCGTGTGCATGATTTGATTTGATTGTTGAGTTATAGATTCAGCCTACGGGTCATATTAGGTGACTCCGGCTGATATGTCACTTTATAATAGTACAATTCACCTGGCTCACTTATTCATCGTAGAGATGATTGACATGGCATACTCATGGTTTGTTATTCTCGAGCATAGTTTTTATATATGTATATAGTATTATTTTCTGGGAAACTTATACGGGTTTTACGGTGAGGGGTTATTACTTTTGGGAAGATAAATGGTTTTGAAAAGCTTTGTTTTTGCCCACTCACGTTTTCTGTTTGTGCCCCTCCAGGTTTTAGGTAAACTTCGGCGCTGGTGGTTTACGAGGAATCTTCGACAGTTTTGACAAACATCCATCAATGTAGGGTTTCTTTATGTTCTGTATAATTATTACTTAGTCTTCTGGACTGCACTTCGATACCTCTGCTCTGGTTGTGTGTATCTTTACTCTAATCACTTTCACTCATACTTATAGGCTAGTCTAAGGTAAGATAACTAGTGGTTTTTATTTATTCGCATTTTCATATCATTACCAGTTCCGCACAGTGCACATGGTTATGTCACTCTCGCGTGACGGCCAACATGCCTGATTGAGGTCGGGGTGTGTCAGTGTTTGATTTTAGCTTTTTTTTTACTCAGAAAAATAAGCATGTAAGAAAACCCTCACATGAATATCTCAAAATCTGGATCATAATTCAAGAATTTTGATGAATAGTGGGTCCGGAACCAAGTATTATTTTAGTGTGAATTTGAGATGTCTTGATTAATTGAGGAATTTTGGTAATGATTAGGCAACAATTTATTCATCAGATTTTAATGGGACAAAGAGGAAGCGTAGGAGTTTTCCCCCATCTTCTGCTTCATCGGCAAACCCACAATCCTCAATACAAAACTTGAAATTTTCTTTTGAATTTGTTCCTGTGCCTATTACAACAAACTATGTATTAAGCAGTAAATCTTTTGGATGATGAAAAAGTTTCATTGAGGAATTAGTTTTTGAGGAACTGCATTAGTAGTTGTTATTGATTGATTATTACAAGTTTTATCAACCTCTTCACAGCATATACTATTCCTTTGTTTAAGTTTCGTTACTCTGTCATTGCGCTGGAGTTAGTGGTTCACCACTTTTAATTAGTGTTTTGTAACATTATTTGCGCTAACTTTCTTTTTTTGTGGACAATTTAGGAGTACAAATACTGGATTTGAGGTGTAAGAGTTAGGAATTGGGGACACAAGAATTAGGTAGAGTGTTTCTAAGGACCATATTCCTCACTCGCATAAAAACTCTTTAACTTGTATAATTCGAGCTGATTTACACGCGTTTTTTTTTTGTTTTTTTTTTTGTTTTTTTCAATCTGTAATATAACAGGCAAAAGAAAACCTGCATGTGAGAAGAAAGAAGACAGCTCTACCTGATGCAGAACCCTACTCATGGACACATTTTGTTACTCATGTAAATATTACTCCACCCTTAAGACTATTTTGTTCCTCATTGTAAATAAGATTATAAACAAATTTTCACATTTATATAAGTACCTCACTCTTGGAAACCTATTTTACCTATTTTGTTCCTATTTCATTACAAGTTTATGCATACATTAGAATTTTTGACATGTTTTGTATAGTTTTAAAACCAGTAGCATCACGCTGGCAACCTTGCTATTCATTTTCTATTGGCAAAGCTTTAGCCTCCGTACAAAAGAGAATGTAAAACAAACCAAAAGCACCATTAATATTATTATGATGAAATTATCCTAATGTAGCCTCCCCGAAAGAGTTCCCATCATTTCAGTCATTAAATGCTTGATAATTCAAAGATCATAATTAGGGATGGTCAACAGTTACGACGGACAGATAACCGCAGTTATTTACTCATAACCGTTTATGTTCATACTTGCATAACCGTTTACCCGTTGGGTAATTGCATAAACGGTTATACCCATACTCATAACCGTTTATAAACGGTTAACCATACCCATAACCGTTTACCCATTTAACCATAACCGTTTGCTTGTTTTTGAACTCATATATCCTATTTTTACCCATTTACCCCTTTTTCACCTACCTATATTTTTTTTTAACAACTTGATAATTACAAAAGAATAATTTGTCATAATTTTCATTTTCTAATAATTAAACACCGTTATAGGTACATTTTAACTTGCATTTTCCTATTTTAATCATTTAAGTCCTCATAAAATTTCAATAATTGAAATAATAATTTACGAACGATATTTTTTTGCTATATTCAAGCAAGTAGGAAAATACCTCATAAACCCTCCAGTTTCCCACCAACAAGAAGGGTGTAATGCACCTTGACAAAAAAATGCATCAAACGATAACCTTAATGCATAATCTCTGAGCCTGGCGGAGAGACCAACAATTTAGGGTTTTTAAATTTTTTTTTTTTTAATTTTACTTATATTAAATTAAATGGGTAAATGGATATCCGTTATAACCACAAGTAATACCCATAACCAATAGATACCCGTTATAACCGTGGGTAATACCCATAACCGTCCATTTAAATTTCACGGATAAACGGTTATGCATAACCGTTTGTTTGTCTAAACGGTTACCTATAGCCGTAATCTTGAACTTTAAATGAACGGATAACCGCGGTTATCCAAACCCATGAGTATTTTGCCCATCCCTAATCATAATGCATAACATAAATAATTACGTAAATATCACTTAAGCTACAAACATCTTTACAGCAGTAGTAGCTAGTAACCATTTACAGGCAACCCAAATGGAGGAAAGAGAATGACAGCTCTCTATCAAGCCGAATTTGGTAATAAATTCTACGGCCAAATCTCTTAAACAATACAAAGGTAGAAACTAAAATTAAACCCAAAAAGCACTTGGCTTTCTATTAGAAATCAGATCGGTCATTTTAATAAATTTCATACATTTTCAAACAATCAAAAGAAAATTGGGTTCAACATCAGATTGAAAATATCAACACAAGGGCACGATTATTTAAATTCTCAAGAACCAACCCACAAGGAAACACCCATTTCAAAAACACCACCATGATCATCGACAGAAAAGGGAAAGAGACTCACTGCAAGGCCTACAGCTCCCATATGCAAAAACAGCCACCGTTGATCCAGGAAAGTAGTTCCTCTTCTTTAAACTGTAAACGCAAAACAAAAAAAAAAACTGTAAGCCAAATATTTCCCTGGCAACAAGTCTAGTGTAATAACCCATCAATCTTCCAGCAGTAGTACTTGTCATCTAGGACAAGAACAATCTTCCAACCAGAAATTCTACCAAATCTTTCTTTAAAACTTCATCAATTCATCTTAATATTAGAAAAATAAAAATAATTTATCCCGAGTATTGATAGCATGATCAAGAAAACTAAAGCAAGAACATGAAATTGAGCAAAACACCACTCAAGGACTGACTGAGAATCGAATTGCAATAAACAAAGATTATATCACCATTATCCCCTGCAAGGCATTTTCAAACAATGAATTCTAATTAACATTGAGATAGCAATTACAAAATTGAAACCAATCAGACACAAAATCAAAGCAATGAATTCTATTTAAAATTGATATAGCACAAAAAATCCAAACCAATCAAGGAACACCAAGACTTGGTCAAAAGCTGCACAAATCTGCTCTGTTGTCCAACCATTCAAAACAAACTTATACTCGCTAGCTATTATTCGGGGTATCAACAGACAACTTTAATTGATTTTTCAACTCTGGGGTTGTGCCTATGGGATCATTGAAACCCCCGTACCAACTTCCCTTCACCACATGGTCAACAGTTAAAATTCATTTCATCCAGGTTTGGGATATACGGGCAACAAAACATACAAGACATTTAAAGAAAATTGCTCCTGCAACAATATAACAACTAAAACATCAAGCTACATATTGTGCACATCCAAACCCTTTTTCAGCACATTACAACTCCAACATCCACCCTAGTGTTATACTGGATTGCATTGCAAGAACTGAAAGGAAAAAAAAAAGTGTAGACATTTCAACTTGCCCTTAGTGATTCACTGATGTTTCCAAAGTTAAAACGTCCACCCTAGTGTTGTACTGGATTACATTGCAAGAACGGGAAAGAATAAAAAAGTGTAAACATTTTAATTTTCCCTTCGTCATTCATTATTGTTTCTAGTTGACATTCTTTGCTTCAGGCAAGAACAAATAATCCTAAACTTTACACCCTACTATTTCACAACCGCAGCCCCACCACAATTAGTCTATATAAGCACTATGAAGGACATATCGCTTGAGGCAGCTCAAATGGATGGTTGCCAGTAGCTCTGATGTGATGCCCAAAAATCAGTTCATTCTCAGTAGTTTCGTCTGGAGGCCTGATGCAGGCACGGACAATGAACGAGTAAACAATTGGTGCCAAGATTTTTTAGGTTCAGTCCGACTGTGGTTCTGAGTGAACCAGCATTGAATACTCACAATGTAACACTTACTGTATGCATCTAAATGTTGTTATAATACAACTAATGTTCTTATCATTATGTGACAACTACTGTTGAAGTTACTATTGCAATTTGTAGAATTTTGGGTTGACGTTCCAAGGAGCCAAAAATGTTGAGCCTGAATCTACTTAAGTTACTAAACTGTTGAACTTGATAGAATCACATTTTTAAAAGCTAAGAAAGTCAAGGCCAACTTAATAGATGAAAGTCATAATGAAGAAACTCAAAGTGGATCACAGCCATGAATTATAAGTATATCAATTCTACCTTAAAACTGAAGCAGGCTACAGATAACACATTTAAAGTTATATGAAAACACATAAAAACAAAGGGGTATAAAGAAAGAAACTTACAGGGCGGTGGACACTCTTATCATCCCCACTCATAAAAGGTCTTGCAGCTATGCGTTCAGGTGGGCATAAGTCTCTCTTCGGGGCATAAATATGGACATGATCTACAGAACTGCAAGATTTGGTTTCTTTTGTCCCTGTAGTATTATCGCCCTTTCCAAAGAAACTACCTCCATCAAATGCCTTCGAGTAATTAAAAATTGTACCCCTCATGCGGTCCAGGTACCTAGATCCAGCATTTCCCCAAAAGGATTAAGATTAGAATTGGGTTGCAGTAAACAAAAACAAGAAAGGATTAAAATTGGGTTGCAGGACCAATGAACCCAGAAAGGATTAAGATCAAATTTGAAGCAAAGCAATGGATTTATTTTTATGAGAAGCAATGTGAAAAGCTACAAATCTCTTACACCTGAGAAACCCATCCATTTTTTTCCGAAATCAAGGTGAATTTCTCGCTAGAGATAAATCACTTTCTATTAACAAAACTTTGGCCCTCCGTACAAAAGAGAATGTAAAACAAACCAAGGGCACCATTAAAATTATTACGATGAAATTATCCTAACGTAGCCTACTCGACAGAATTCCCATCATTTCAGCCATGAAATGCTTGAAAATTCATAGACCATAATGCATAACATAAACAAGTAGGTAAATATCATTGAAGCTACAAGCATCTTTACAGCAGTAGAAGCTAGTAACCATTTTACAGGCAATCAAAATTGAGGAAAGAGAATGAAAGCTCTACCAAACCAACTTGGTAATAAATTCTACAGCCAACAATCTCTTATACAATACAAGGGAAGAAACTAAATTAAACTGAAAAAGCACTTGGCTTTCCATTAGAAATCAAATCAGTCATTTTGCGTTTAATAAATTATATCTTTCCAAACAATCAAAAGAAAATTGGGTTCAACATCAGATTGAAATATCAACAACACAAGAACATTGTATTTTAAATTCTCAAACAATCAACACACGATGAAACACCCATTTTACAAACTCCTAAAAGATCATCGATGGAAAAAGGGTAGAAAATGTAGCAACCATACAGAAAAAAGCGAGATAACACTCAAGTTCTCCACATTAAAAATCCAAATTTAAACATATTTTCCCACCATAAAACACAATTCAGCAAACAATGAGTGAAGAGTGACTGAGAGACTCACTGCAAGCCCTACAGCTCCCAAATGCGAAAACAGCCATTGTTGATCCAGGAAAGTAGTTCCGCTTCTTTAAACTGTAAGTGCAAAACCAAAAAAAAACTGTAAGCCAAATATTCCCTGACAACATGTTTAATGTAATAACCCATCAGTCTTCCAGCAGTACTACTTGTCATCTAGAACAAGAACAATCTTTCTACCAGAAATTCTACCAAATCTTTCTTCAAAATTCATCAATTCATCTTTAATACTAGAAAAATAAAAATAATTTCTCCCAAGTATTGATAGCATGGTGAAGAAATTCAAAGCAAGAACATGAAATTGAACAAAATACCACTCAAGGACTGACTGAGAATCGAATTGTCATAAAGCAAGACTATAATTATCCCCTGGAAGGCTTTTTCAACGACAAATTTTATTTAACATTGAGATAGCATGACAAAATTCAAACCAATCAAACACAAAATCAAAGCAACGAATTCTATTTAACATTGAAATAGCACGAAAAATCCAAACCAATGAAGGAACCCCGTGAGTTGTGGTTACAAACTGTGCATGAAGCTACTGTGTTGTCCAACCATTCAAAACAAACTTATACTGGCTAGCTATTGTTGGGGTATCAACAGAGAAATTTAATTGCTTTTTCAACTATGTGGTTGTCCAAAATTCAAGGGAATCTCTAGTTTTTGAAATAAATCATTTTCTATTGGCACAAGCTTTAGCCCTCAGTACAAAAGAGAATGTAAAACAAACCAAAAGCACCACTAACATTATTACGATGAGGACACCCTTATCATCTCCACTCATAAAAGGTCTCGCAGCTATGCGCTCAGGTGGACATAAGTCTCTCTTCTGGGCATAAATATGGCCATGATCTACAGAACCACTAACATTATTAGAATTGGGTTGAACTAAACAAAAACAAGAGAGGATTAGAATTGCGTTGCAGAAACAATGAACCCAGAAAGGATAAGATCAGAGTTGAAGCTAAGCAATGCATTTATTTTTATGAGGAGCAATGTGGACAGCTACAAATCTCTCACATTTGAGAAACCCATCTATTTTTTCCAAAATTGACATTGAGATAGCAATTACAAAATTGAAACCAATCAAACACAAAATCAAAGCAATGAATTCTATTTAAAATTAATATAGCACGAAAAATCCAAACCAATCAAGGAACCCCAAGACTTGGTCAAAAGCCGCACAAATCTACTCTGTTGTCCAACCATTCAAAACAAACTTATACTCGCTAGCTATTATTGGGTATCAACAGACAACTTTAATTGATTTTTCAACTCTGGGGTTGTGCCTATGGGATCATTGAAACCTCCGTACCAACTTCCCTTCACCACATGGTCAATAGTTCAAATTCATTTCATCCAGGTTTGGTAAATACGGGCAACAAAACATACAAGACATTTAAAGAAAATTACTCCTGCAACAATATAACAATTAAAGCATCAAGCTACATACTGTGCACATCCAAACCCTTTTTCAGCACATTACAACTCCAACATCCACTTGCAAGAACTGAAGGGAAAAAAAAAAGAACAACTCCAACATCCACTTGCAAGAACTGAAGGGAAAAAAAAAAAGAAAAAAAAAAGTGTAGACATTTCAACTTGCCCTTGGTGATTCACTGATGTTTCCAAAGTCATAACGTCCACCCTAGTGTTCTACTGGATTACATTGCAAGAACGGGAAAGAATAAAAAAGTGTAAACATTTTAATTTTCCCTTTGTCATTCATTATTGTTTCTAGTTGACATTCTGTGCTTCAGGCAAGAACAAATAATCCTAACCTTTACACCCCACAATTTCACAACCGCAGCCCCACCACAATTAGTCTATATAAGCACTATGAAGGACATATCGCTTGAGGCAGCTCAAATGGATGGTTGCCAGTAGCGCTGATGTGACTCCCAAAAATCAGTTCATTCTCAGTAGTTTCGTCCGGAGGCCTAATGGAGGCATGCACAATGAACGAGTGCCATGATTTTTTCAGTTCAGTCCCTGACTGTGGTTCTGAGTGAACCAGCATTGAATGCTCACAATGTAACACTTACTGTATGCATCTAAATGGTGTTATAATACAACTAATGTTCTTATCATTATGTTGCAACCAGTGTTGAAGTTACTATTGCAATTTGTAGATTTTTGGGTTGACGTTCCAAGGAGCCAAAAATGTTGAGCCTGAATCTACTTAAGTTACTAAACCTTTGAACTTGATAGAATCACATTTAACATTGAGATAGCACAACAAAATTCAAACCAATCAAACACAAAATCAAAGCAACGAATTCTATTTAACATTGAAATAGCACGAAAAATCCAAACCAATGAAGGAACCCCGTGAGTTGTGGTTACAAGCTGTGCATGAATCTACTGTGTTGTCCAACCATTCAAAACAAACTTATACTTTGTTCGGGGTATCAACAGAGAAATTTAATTGCTTTTTCAAGTCTGTGGTTGTCCGAAATTGAAGGGAATCTCTAGTTTTTGAGATAAATCGTTTTCTATTGGCACAAGCTTTAGCCCTCCGTACAAAAGAGAATGTAAAACAAACCAAAAGCACCACTAACATTATTACAATGATTAATCCTACATGGCAGTGGACACCCTTATCATCTCCACTCATAAAAGGTCTCGCAGCTACGCGCTCAGGTGGGCATAAGTCTCTCTTCTGGGCATAAATATGGCCGTGATCTACAGAACCACTAACATTATTAGAATTGGGTTGCACTAAACAAAAACAAGAGAGGATTAGAATTGCGTTGCAGTACCAATGAACCCAGAAGGGCTTAAGATCAGAGTTGAAGCAAAGCAATGCATTTATTTTTACGAGGAGCAATGTGGACAGCTACAAATCTCTCACATTTGAGAAACCCATCTATTTTTTCTGAAATTGAGGGGAATCTCTCACTTGAGATAAATCATTTTCTATTGGCAAAGCTTTAGCCCTCCGTACAAAAGAGAATGTAAGACAAACCAAAAGCACCAGTATCCTAGCGTAGCCTCCCCAAAAGAGTTCCCATCATTTCAGTCATGAAATGCTTGAAAATTCAGAAAGCATCCACAATCAGGTAAATATCATTAAGCCACAAACATCTTTACAGCAGTAGAAGCTAGCAACCATTTTACAGGCAACCCAAATGGAGGAAAGAGAATGAAAGGTCTACCAATCCAACTTGGTAATAAATTCTACAGCCAAATCTCTTTAAACAATACCAGGGTGGAAACTAAAATTAAACCCAAAAAGCACTTGGCTTTCTATTAGAAATCAGATCAGTCATTTTTCATTTAATAAATTTCATATACTTTCAAACAATCAAAAGAAATTGGGGTAAACATCAAATTGAAAATATCAAAAACACAAGGGCACGATTATTTAAATTCTCAAAGAACCAACCCACAAGGAAACACCCATTTCACAAACACAAGGGCACGATTATTTAATCCTAACGAAGCAGAGATCCCATCATTCAGACATGAAATGATTGAAAATTCATAGACCATAATGCATAACATAAACAATGCGGTAAAAATCATTGAAGCTACAAACATCTTTTACAGCAGTAGAAGCTAGTAGGAACCCAAATCGAGGAAAGAGAATGAAAGCTATAACCAAACCAACTTGGTAATAAATTCTACAGCAAACAATCTCTTATACAACAATACAAGCGTAGAAAGTAAAATGAAACCCAAAAAGCACTTGGCTTTCTATTAGAAATCAAATCAGTCATTTTTTTTATTTAATAAATTTCATATTTTGGAGAAAGAAAAAGAAAATTGGGTTCAACATGAGATGGAAAAAATCAACAACACAAGGACAGGATTATTTAAATTCTCAAAGAACCAACAAAACCAAGGGTTGATGATGAAGGCACGGACGATGAACGAGTAAACAAATTTAAAAAACCCCGACTTGAATTTCGATAAATTAAAAAAACAACCCTAAGATTCTCCCACAGCAAACTTGCCCACGCAACAATGCTCCCAATAGCAAACCCTAACCTTATTATCCCGCTCAAATCGACCAAAGATGGGGAGATTGAATTGAGGTCAGTGGAGTGGACCCAAGCTTTTCGTCGGTCGGGAATTTGGGCCGGGGCGGGTCTGAGGCAGCAGTGGCGGCGGTACCCCGAATGTTGGCCGACAAGACAACGATCTCTCGGCTCCTTGTTCGGGACGAGATCGGCGTCGGCGACGTGGTGGTGGTGTCGCCATTCCAAAAGAGGAGGGCGAGAGGAGAGCGGGAGAGAGAGCGAGAAATTTGAATTGAATTGGGATCGCCATTCCGACGAAACAATCTCTCTCCTCTCCTCCTTCAAAGGAGATTTCATTAATTTATAAAATAAAAAATATTAGAAAAATAAAAATCGGATATTCCACGAACCAACAAACAACAAAGTCAAAAGTTGGGGTGGTTTTGGTACATTCCTATGTACCAATTACCATATCAAATATTTGGTACGGTAAAATTTATTACTATTACTGTATCAAACTTTCGGTATACCGAGTATCAATATACCAAATAGTTTAGTTGGTATGGTATGCCAATGATAACTGTTACTTTGTTTTACGTCACTTGGTTTGCCCAAAATCTAATATATTTTAATTAATGTAGAAGTGTAAAAAAATATATAAACGCTTGTAATGACAAGCTTTACAACTTTCGTGAAGAACTTAACTTTGAAATTCATCATTATAATCATATAAATCATATATCAAAATTTAACCATTGATTGTTGTTTACATTTACACTTCATTTTTCTCATCAAATTTTGTTTTTTTTTTCAGATTGGCTTGAAAACTTTGAATTTTAATAATAAGAACAATATAAAGGGTAAAATGAATAGTACCAGGATTGACTTTTTAGTGTAAAAATGTGATTTTTCATTAAAGTGAACAGTACCATGGACTTTTCGTTAAAACTCTTTTTTTTTTTTTTTTTTTTTGAAAATAATGATCTATTAGAGGATGCAGGAAGATGAACAGTTTGGATCGTTGATATTATGTTCAGAGTTTTACGGTTAGTGAAAATATTGCTTGATGTTTATAAAGTTTCTACAAACTCTATAACATCGACTCATATTTCAGTTAACCATAAATATTAAAATGTGATATCAAATATCTGAATCGTTCATCTTCTTACATCCGTTAGATGATCATGTTTTCAAAAAATAAAATTTTAAAAATAAAATTCAATAAGAAGAATAAAGCGTAAATAACAATCGACGGTTAAATATAAATTTAAGGTTTATAGATTATAGTGTTGGATTTTGAAGCTGACCTCTTCATGAAAGTTGTAAAGGTTGTCACTATGAGTGATTGTATATTTTTCTTTTTACATTTTTTACATTTCTACAATAATTATTATTAATTTTATTAATTTTGCCCTCAAATAATTATATGAATAAATACATAATATAATATTAATAATATTGGTAGCTATGGTATACCACCGGTACTGGTTTTGGATACCAGTACTGTACCGAAACAATATGGTATAGTACAAATACTGTACCATTACCAATTAGTACAATTTTTTGGTAATAATTTGGTATGGTATGGTTGGTATGGCTATTGGTACGGTAATTTGGTAAAAATTTCCGCCCCTAGTAAAAAGTGTAGAAAAACAAAGTCGAAGCTGCTTTTTTATTCATTTAAATTTAAAATTAACCAACAGAAAAATAAAAGGAACTCTCTTCAACGACACCACGAGTCTTAGTACATTTTCCAAACAACCTACTCCACCGCCGAGTTCACCCTCCAGCAATTGACCCTCACTTTGCCCTGGTCTCCCGTCAGTGGGCTCAGGGCAGACATCTTCTACATGGCCGCCACAAAATCCGCCTTGAACACCGACAAAATTCTGCTGTAGCGCAGGACTTGTTCCTCTACCGCATTGTCGCTCTACCGCTGAACAATGCATGGTCCGATTGGAACAGGCCCCTCCACTCCACCAAGTTGTCGTAGTAGGCGTTGTCGAACATATCGGGGCTCCAAGGGTCAAGGGGCGCCACTATGAGGTTGCCCCCGACAGCTGGACAGGCGGTTTGCAGCCTAGCCGCGTACTCTCGGTCTATGTTAGCGTCGTTGTAGATGCGACCGCAGAAGAAACGGCAGCTCGACCTCCCGATATTATGGGCGCTAGACAGGGCCACCATCTCTGCCTCCGTGAAACCTTTGGCGGTGAACATTTTCCTGAGACCGGCAATAGGGGAATCCAAGTCGGGTAACTCGATGGTGGCACTGGCATTGGGCGCCAGGGAATCCTTCCGGCCAAGCAGGAAGTCCCAACTTGGCCCACCCACGGCAACGACCCCTTCTCTGGCTGCCACAGCCAGAGTGTCGGCGCAGGACACCACGCCCTGACAGACATGCTCGAGCTCTGACTTTGTGGCATTGACGACTTGGAAGCCGCAGAGGGAATTCTTGTTTCAAGGGGTGCCCTTCTCTCCTTCCATGGCAAGGGTATCGTCCAGGAGGACAAAGCCATCGTAGCCCTGCACGAAGCAGTCGTGGAAGTGCATTCGGAGGAGGGAGGCCCTGAGTCGAGGCTCCCCGGCGACGACCCTTTGGACCACTGCGCGGATGACGGAGATGGCCCAAGGGCAAGTGGCGTGGTAGAAGGTTGAGGATAGGGGAAATGACTAATAATGGTAATGCCATACTCTATAAGGAACTGCCCATCCTAAGCCTTGAGCCTGCTGACGAGAGGCGATGGGGAAATGCGAGTGAATTGTATGCAGGTGAACCCGACAGGCGTAGTTGGTCAATCGATTAGAGTCGTGGTAACTAGAAAACCAATAACACTCTTGACTATTGTACCAGTTATATTGTACTAGCCTTAAGGCTCTTAATTACTGAGAATGATAATAATCTAACGTGAATATTAATTAGGTAATAACTAATAAATGCAGGAATATTTGGTCACTAGAACTATGTTTTTGAAATAAATTGGGTTGGCCTGTCCCATTTATTAAGTGGATCAACCTAAGCACAGTACAACACATGTGGGCCGATTTTAAATAAATTCACCAACATGGGCTAACCTATTTGTCACCTCTAATAAGTGCGTACTGCAACTCTAATTAAGGCTAGCTATATTATACTACGGTTCCAAGGTTCTTAGTTATTGAGAATGATAAAAATCTAACGTGAATATTAACTGGATAATAACTAATAAAGGGAAGCCAATACTCTACTAGGAAGACTTAGAGGATGAGTTCATGTACATAATTATGCATGATTAGTGATTGATCAGCCGTGATTATTGTTCACACTCTAATTATATCTCTATAATTAGATTGTTCACACACATATTCATCACCAATCACGTATCACCCATGCACAACTCTAAGATTACAATGTTTACATACTAATTCATCACCCATGCACAGTTTCACAATCACCATAAATACGTAATATCAATCATGCTTTAACCTCACCACTTTCTCATCCCATCTCAAATCCAAACTCCTAAATGCTAAAACCTTTCTCACTTCAGCTTTACTCAGCGTCTCCACCTTTTATTTATGTGGACATGTCTTCGATGAAGACCAATTTTTCCTTCAAGTTGAGGGAATATCTTAACGAGGATGTTATACATTGATTTGTAATACTATTTACTCCATCTCTTGTAGAACGCAAGTGACCCAATCGCAATTGCAAAGCCAAATGCAAATCCAACTTCGACACTTATAACATCCCAATTAATCTCATCTCCAGAATTTTGATGACTTCCATTTTACGGTGGTGGTGTTGACAATCCTATTTTGTTGTCTACCGTCAATGGTGGCCCCTATAGTCCTTTATTACCTATAAAGGAGGTACTTGGAAATGTTGAGAACTGAGTGCCAGTTGGGATCCTGCCGACCAGCCTCAACATCGAACTGAATGGTTTGGATGTTTAGGGATTTCGGAGGGATCCCACCAAGAGTCCAAACCAAGGACAGTGAAAGTTAAGAAACTTCCTTGCCCTCGATGACGCTGCCTGTAAGGAGACAGTACCGAAAACACATGCATCGATCATTTGAAGTTCTTAAAGAAAACATGAGCGGTTTCAACTCATAATACTCATTTAGCATTAGCTTAATAATTATAATGCTTCTGAAATACATAACGATCTAACGCTAGTTCTTGTCAGTTATATATGGACCCATCATATTTTTAATATATTGAATCTTGTAATACATAACAGAAAAACCGTAGCTACCACATTTAGATTTAGTCCACTTTGGATGGAAATTGGAACTAAACCCATTAAAGATAATCCTATATGTGTACATGGGCTTGGACATCACTTCTCCAACCTGGACTCATACGTGGGCTTGGGATATGTTACGAACTTCAACCAAACCAACCAGGCCCAATCAGTTATATTAAACCTATTATCATCTTGTCCCAGGAAACTCGGAGGATTTTGAAAGATTTGGGTGGAGAACCTGGTGTGGTTAGTTCACTATATATATATGTATGTATGTATGTATGTATGTAAATTACAACACCTCACAACGGCATTGAATGACTCATATATAAGCACAAGACCATAGAATCTAGCCGGAATCATCACCGTCTGCACAAGTAGCAGTGGAAACAAGATATTGATTAATGATGCAATGCTTGGGAGTTGGGACATATGGAGTAAAAGTGATAGATGGATGGCCTTGAGAAAGCAAAACCTTGTCTGCAACATTAATTTGGAGCATCCTTGACTAGTGCCTTCCACCACCATTGGAAGGGTTAGCAGAAGAAATCACAGTAAGTAGGTAGTACCAGGACCGTGCAAAAACTCAAATTAATATATGACTGAGAGTCCACGCTGAGTGTGACACACTACCAGTCCAGTAGTGTCTTTGACATGGTGGTTTGCGATCTTTGATTAACCTAATTAGTTAAGCAGGAAACCCAAACCCGAATGGAGCAAAAAAGTAGAGAGCTTCTTCACATTGGATTGGACTAGTAATTAAACAGACCAAAAACATATATAGTGATAGAGCCCAACTTGTTGAGATTTGATTTGATTTGTTTTGATTTGATCTGGTTAAGCTGAAGCACACTGCCCAATTATATATATATATATATATATATATATGTAGTTAGTGGAAATAATAGGCCCAACTCGCTCGATCCAAATACCAAACCAGATTACAACAAGATGATCGAGTTTGTAGCTTGTCAGATTCCTTTGCTAGATAATCTTATTCCCTCCCAAATCGAGAGATGATCGAGTTTAAAGGGAAACATTCACGATTGGAAGAAAGCCATAATAGTCTATCGGGAACACTTTGGGATGTTCATGTACATCAATTGGGTAGTAAGTACATACTTAATAACTGGTACAATAACCAAGAGCCTTGGAACTGTAATACAATATAGCTAGCCTTAATTAGAGCTGCAGTAAGTACATACTTAATAAAGATGATAAATAGGTGGGCTCGGGCCAATTTATTTAAAATTAGTCCACATGTGTTGTACCGTGCTTATGTCGATCCACATAATAAAAGGGACGGGTCAGCCTAATTTATTTCAAAAACATTGTTCTAGTGACCAAATATGCTTGCCTTTATTAGTTATTACCTAATTAATATTCATGTTAGATTATTATCATTCTCAGTAATCAAGAGCCTCAAGGCTATAGTACAATATAATAGGTACAATAATTGAGACTCTTATTAGTTTTCTATGTACCACGACTCTGACCGATCCACCAACTATGACATTGCCGGGTTCACCTACTAGTAATTCACCCGCACTTTATTGTCGTAGATGCAGCTGCAGTAGCAGAAGATACGGTTAATGGGTAGGGGAGTAGGAATAGGAGGAGGAGAGAAAAGGTGGTGGCGAAGAAGAGTACTCTGTTTTCCATCTCCTTTGGAAAAGAAAACAGAGCAAGTTTGAAAGGATGGGCTTAGAGTGTTAAAAAGGGCTTAGGAGATGAGAGTTCGGGAAGCACGTCTGAAAGGATAAGAAAAATGGAGATGGGTTTAAAAGGAGGATAGAGAGAGGGCATATTTATGGTGATTGAGAAGCAAAAAGAGGTGTTTCTTGTAGCTATGAATTAGTGCATGGGCGATGAATGTGTATGTGAAGGCTGATATAATTGAAGTGTGAACGCTAGCTAATCATGCATGGCTGAACAAATCAAACACTAATTATGCATAATTATGTACGTGAACTCATCCTCTAAGTCTTCCCGGTAAATTATTGGCTTACCATTATTAGTCATTATCCAGTTAATATTCACGTTAGATTTTTATCATTCTCAATAATTAAGAGCCATGGAACTATAGTACAATATAGCTGCCTTAATTAGAGCTGCTGTAAGTACATACTTAATAGAGGTGACAAATAGGTTGGCTCGTCTTGGCCATTTTATTTAAAATCGGTCCACGTGTGTTGTACCGTGCTTAAGTCGATCCACTTAATAAAAGGGAGAGCTAGCCCAATTTATTTCAAAGACACAATTTTAGTGACCAAATATGCTTGCGTTTATTAGTTATTACCTAATTAATATTCACGTTAGATTATTATCATTCTCAATAATCAACAGCCTTAAGGCTATAATACAATATAACTGGTATAATAATAAATAGTTTTAGAGATGCAATATAACCGGTACAATAATCAAGAGTTTTACACGGGCAAATAGATTTTTTCCATATTTGCCACATGTTTCTATTCAGGATGCTGCAACAATTTCTAGTAAAGGTTTAGAGATGAATCTGCTAAAGATTATCTCTATTTTTACCTTGATTGACTTCGCATGCAACAATTTCAATGGACAAGTACCTAAAGAAATGGGAGATTTTGAATCACTACATATCCTTAACTTGTCTAAAAACATTGTCACAGGTGAAATCCCATCGTCATTGGGCAACATGTGGAATCTCGAATCCTTAGACCTGTCACATTCAAGTTAAGCAGGAAACTTCCACTACAGTTGGCAAACCTTAGTTTTCTTTTATTCATGACTCTGTCAAACAACCAACTGGTCGGCATGATCCCAATTGACACTCAATTCTCAACATTTCCAAGTACCTCCTGTACAGGTAACAAAGGACCATGAGGGCCACCATTGACGGTAGACAACAAAACAGGATTGTCACCACCACCACCATCAAATGGAAGTCATCAAAATTCTGGAGATGAGATTAATTGGGATGTTATAAGTGTCGAAATTGGATTTGCATTTGGCTTTCCAATTGTGATTGGGTCACTTGCGTTCTACAAGACATGGAGTAAATGGTATTAGAAATCAATGTATAACATCCTCGTTAAGATATTCCCTCAACTTGAAGAAAAAATTGGTCCTCACCGAAGACATGTCCACCTAATCAAAGGTGGAGACGCTGAGTGAAGCTAAAGT